TGAATCCAGCAAAGCTGCGATTGAAAGAGGAAGGTAAGAGGAAAGGATCAGGGAATGGAGAAGCAGAGAACATTTGAGACCCTTGCCAGCATACGCACGGTTGGAAGAGGACCTCGAGGTTGTCCCTGGAAACGCTGGAAGGGACGTTCTGCAGGAACAAGATCTTGTTTGGGGGAAGGTACTCGTCTGGCATTTGCACCTCTTGCCGCTTGGCAGGCTGAGCTGCATTGGTATCCACTGCCTCGCCTGTGATCACGAGAAAGGTCAAGGCATCACACATTGAGCAGATTGCCGGAAACCAACGAAGCGCAGCCAAGAAATCAGGCATGCGAGAGAGGTTAGGATGCGCGACTCACCTCTTTTCGCAGCTATCTTTTTGGCCAATTCTTTGCGACGCATGGCGTTTCCCCTCCTCTGCCTCTTCTTGTGCTCCAACCTTTGCCTCTTGTGCTCCTCGAACGCTTCTGTCCCTTCACCACCCACATCTTGCTTCACCACTTCGTCCGACCGCGTCTTCGCAAATTCAAGTTGCTAAAATTGCGCGAGGAGGTACGCGGGTCAGGACGAGTAGGGCTGCGTACTTAGCAAAGTCTCTCTAAACATACTCACCATGGGCATCCCATACAATGGGAAACCTTTGACTTCTCCGACAGCTTTCTCGGCGGCTTGCGAATCTGCAAACGCTACAAAAGCCTGTCCCTTCATGCGCACGTTTTTGTGGGCTGTGACGGAGAGCACGTCCCCGTAGGAAGAGAAAAGACCTTTGAGTGACTCTTTCAGTACTGCGAAGAAGTGCAAGGTGCTCAGCATACTGGTCAGCAAGAGGTGCCTCAATGCTGCAATAGGTCCGACTTGATGCTCACCATCCAGCTTGATCTTTTGATTGAGGTTTGAGATGAAGATGGTTCGGTTGGCTGCGAGAGGGTTGGAAGCTGCTTGATCCGTCTTCTCCTCCCCTGCCGCTTGGGGCACGTCCACGTCAGCTTCGGTGGCCATCTCGACTTCTGCAGACATGATGGCTCCAACGGAAAGATTTGATCAGCTCAAGGATTTCAGAGGTGTGCAAAAGCGGGCAAAGTGATGAGATCAAGC